AGGGCTGACTTGTGCCGATGGTGTTCAAGACAACCGCCTGCACCAGGGCCCAGCATCTGTCGATAGTGATCGACCAGCGTGTGTCGATGGTGATCGAGGCAACTGCCCACACCAGGGCCCAGCGTGTGTCAATGGTGTTCGACGTAACCACCCGCACCAGGGGCCATCTTCTGCCGATGATGGTCGAGGCAAGAGCCCGCACCAAGGGTCGACTTATGGCGATCGTGGTCGAGGCAACCACCCTCACCAGGGCGCAACGTGTGTCAATGGTGATCGAGGCAACTGCCCACACAGGGCCCAACGTGTGCTGATGGTATTCGAGGTAACCGCCTGTACCAGGGGCCATCTTCTGCCGATGGTGCTCGAGGCAATCGCCCGCACTAAGGCCCAGCATGTGCCGATTGTGTTCGAGGCAACCACACGTGCCAGAGCCCAGCATTTGCTGATGGTATTCAACGTAACCGCCCATACCAAGGGCCATCTTCTGTCGATGGTGGTCGAGGCAAGAGCCCGCACCAAGGGTCGGCTTGTGTCGATGGTGCCCGAGGCAACCTCCCACACCAAGGCCCTATACGTGTCGATGGTGTTTGAGGTAACCGCCCGTACCAGGACCCAATGTGTGCCGATGGTGATCGAGGTAATTGCCTGCACCAAGGCCCAACGTGTGCCGATGCTGCTCGAGGTAACCGCCCGCACCAGAGCCCATCGTGTGCCAATGGTGCTCGAGGCAACCGCCCACACTAGGGCTCGAGGTAATCGCCCGTACCAGGGCCCAGCGTGTGCCGATGGTGTTCGAGGTAAGAGCCCGTACCAGGGGCCATCTTCTATCGATGGTGATTGAGGCAAGAGCCCGCACCAAGGGCCGGCTTGTGCGATGGTACTCAAAGCAACCGCCCATGCCAACGCCCAAATGTGCCGATGGTGCTCGAGGCAACCGTCCACACTAAGGCCCAGCGTGTGCCGTTGGTGGTTGAGGGAAGAGCTCGCATCGAGGGCCAGCTTGTGTCGATGGTGTTCAAGGCAACCGCCTGCACCAAGTCCCAATGTGTGTCGATGGTGATCGACCAGCGTGTGTCGATGGTGATCGAGGTAATCGCTCGTACCTAGAGCTCAGCGTGTGCCGATGGTGTTCGACGTAACAACCTGCACCAGGGGCCATCTTCTGTCGATGGTGGTCGAGGTAAGAGCCCGCACCAAGGGCTGACTTGTGGCAATGGTGTTCGAGGCAACCGCCCGCACCAAGGCCCAGTGTGTGCCGATGGTGATCGAGGCAACTGCCCGCACAGGCCCAATGTTGTGCGATAGGTCCGAGGAACGACCGCCACCAGGCCATTTTCTGACAATGGTGCTCGAGGCAACTGCTCGTACTAGGGCCCAACGTGTGTCGATGGTGTTCGAGGCAACTGCGTGCACCATGGCCTAGCGTATGTCGATGGTGTTCAACACAACCACCCATACTAGAGCCCATCTTCTACCAATGATGGTCGAGGTAAGAGGCTGCACCAAGGGTTGGCTTGTGCCAATGGTGCTCAAGGCAACCACCCGCACCAAGGCCCTGCACGTTCGGATGGTGTTCGAGGTAACCGCCTGCACCAAGGCCCAGTGTGTGCCGATGGTGATCGAGGCAACCACCCACACCAGGGCCCAGTATGTGCCGATGGTGCTTGAGGCAACCATCCACACCAGGGCCCATCGTGTGCCGATGGTGCTCGAGGCAACCGCCCGCACCAGGGCCCAGCACGTGCCGATGGTGATCGAACAGCATGTGCCAATGGTGCTCGAGGCAAGAGCTGCACCAAGGCTTGAGGTAACTGCCCACACTAGAGCTCGAGGCAACCACCCGCACCAGGGCCCAGCGTGTGTCGATGGTGATCGAGGTAACTACCTGTACCAAGGGCCAGCACGTGCCAATGGTGATCAAGGCAACCGCCCGCACCAGGGCCTAGCTTGTGCCGATGGCGGTCGAGGCAAGTGCCCGTACCAAAGGGTAGCCTGTGCCGATGATAGTCGATGCATGTGCCAATGGTCGAAGCCTTGGCCGAAGTTCAATTTTGAGCCATGATGCACATGCTGGGCTCGGACATGTGCTGGTGCCGCATTTTTTTCGCCTGGGGCAGCATCACCGGAGTATCGTCGGAGAACCTGATCGACGGCATTGGGGTTCCGACGATTGGGGGGCCGGGGGGTGTGCACACATGATGTACGATGGGTGCTGGTACTTGGCCCTTATCCCTCATCAAACCTCGAGAACTCACACCCCTTAAAGAGCATTTGAGATTTTACAGGTTTGCTGCCAGTAGCCATTCAAGTGTCTGAAATGGGGATACTTTTTTCAAATGGTCACAAAATCTTCTCCACTTCGAGTTTTTAGCTGAATTGTTTTGTGCATGTCAACAAAAATAGAAGGATCATGTCTACAAAATTTGGGGCCAAAACTCCTTCTACAAATATTTTAAAAAATCTCGAACCGTAAAAAGTTTCAAAAATCGTGAAAAATAGAAAACGAGTCATCTTGCCACAAAACTTCACATGAAGGCTTAGGGGACCATTGTATGAATTTACAAGCCATAAAAATGGCATTGCCATGGCAAAAATATGAAGATGTGCCTAAACCCACCTACTACCCGATCGATCCACGGCTTGCGCATCCCGCTTTTCTGGCCGGCATAGTGCCCGCCCACTCGTTTCGTGGGTTGACTTAGGCATACGAAATTCATTCCATGTCTAAGCCCTAGGCGGACTGAGGGTTGTGGCAGCTAGACTGGCAGCGGGATCGACAGCACGCAGAGGGGGACCGAGCCGATCCCTGGCTTGTGCATTATGCCTCTCTGGCTGGCTTAGTGCCCGCACACTCGTTTCATGGGTTGACTTAGGCATACAAAGTTCATTCCCAGTCTAAGCATACGGAGTTCATTCCCAGTCTAAGATCGGGACCGACAGCGGCATCGACAGCAGCACGCAGAGGGGGACCAGGCCAATCCCCGGCTTGCGTATCCTACCTCTTCTGTCGGCTGAGCGTGCGCACGCTCATTTTGTGGGTTGGTTTAGGCATACGAAGTTCATTCCATGTCTAAGCCCTAGCCAGATCAAGGGTTGTGGTAGCGGGATCAGTAGCACACAGAGGGGGACCGAGCGGATCCCCGACTTGCACATTATACCTCTCCGACCGGCTGAGCACCTGCACGCTCGTTTCATGGGTTGACTTAGGCATACGAAGTTCATTCCCAGTCTAAGCATACGAAGTTCATTCCCAGTCTAAGATTGGACAAGCAATCGAATCGGTAGCAGCACGTAGAGGGGGACCGAGCCGATCCCCGGCTTGCACATCCTGCCCCTCCGGGCGACTCAGTGCCCGCACGCTCGTTTCGAGGGTTGACTTAGGCACACGGGATTCATTTTCGGTCTAAGCCCCAGCCAGACCGAGGGACCGGCAGCGGGATCGACAGCACGCAGAGGGGGATCGAGCTGATCCTTGGTTTGCGTATTCTGGCTCTCCGACTGGCTGAGTGCCCGCCCACTCATTTCATGGGTTGACTTAGGCAAACGTATTGCATTCCCGGTCTCGACCAACGAAGGGCCAAAGGCTATATATGCGTTCGGAGCAACAACCGAGGGGGACCAGCAGCGGGATCCTTGGTTGACTCGCGTGTCCCGTCCCCAGCTGACGGTTAGGTGCCCGCACGCTCGGTTCAGGGGTAGACCGAGGCGAGTGAAGTTCGTTCCCGATCGGGAGCGGGGGACGGGGGGCCTCGGGTCACGCCTGACCCCAGAGGGGGGCGGCGTGAAAAGAAGGAGGGTCGGTAAGGGGAGGGACGAATCGAAGCGACAAAGGGCTGAATCTCAGTGGATCATGGCAGCAATGCCACTCTGGCACTTACAATACCCCATCGCGTATTTAAGTCATCTGTAAAGGATTGTACCCGTCGTTCGATGAGAATTGAGCTCCAAGGATGCCCGCGTGGTGCGTCTGCCGTGAGGCCTGCACCTACGACACGTGCCCTTGGGGGCCATGGGCCCCTACTACAGGTCGACAATCGGGTGACAGGCACGCGCATCACTTTTAGCTTGAATTTTGACTTAGAGGCGTTCAGTCATAATCTAGCACACGGTAGCTTCGTGCCACTGGCTTTTCAACCAAGCGCGATGACCAATTATGCGAATCAATGGTTCCTCTCATACTAAGTTGAATTACTATTGCGACGCCGCCATCAGTAGGGTAAAACTAACCTGTCTCACGACAGTCTAAACCCAGCTCACGTTCCCTATTGGTGGGTGAACAATCCAACACTTGGTGAATTCTACTTCACAATGATAGGAAGAGCCGACAATTTCAAGCACTCTTTGACTCTCCTTTCAAAGTCCTTTTCATCTTTCCCTCATGGTACTTGTTCGCTATCAGTCTCTCACCCGTATTCAGCCTTGGATGGAATTTACGCTCGATTGGGGCTACATTTCGAAACAACCCGACTCACGAACAATGCCTCGTGGTGCGACAGGGTCCGGGCATAACGGGGCTCTCACCCTCTCCAGTACCCCTTTTCAGGGGACTTGGGCCCGGTTCGTCGCTGAGGACACTTCTTCAGATTACAATTCGGACATCGAGGGCACCTAATTCTCAAGGCAGGCCCTTCTCGATTCGTTCACCGTTACTAGGGGAATCTTGGTAAGTTTCTTTTCCTCCGCTTATTGATATGCTTAAACTCAGCGGATGATCCTGCCTGACCTGGGGTCACAACGCGAGCATCGACCGAGAGATGCAAAGGGTCCGACGGGGTCCAGGTGGACAACAAGCCCCCGTCATTGGGGACGAGGCACGTCGGGAGCTCTACCATCGACGGTCACCGCGCTGTCGTTGTCAGGGACTCACTTTTGGGCCAACCGTGACCCACGAGATTACAGGAGGCCATTTTTCGCCCGCCCCCTTCCCTAGGAGCCCGACGGACGGGGGGTCGGAGGGGGGTGACAGTGCATGACACCCAAGCAGGCGTGCCCTCGACCTA